TATGAAAAACAAGGGTTAATACCACTAAGAAATCGGAACTATAAAAAAGTGCCACTTGTATCCCAGCCTATTCAATATTTCGAAAATGTTCCAACCTATTATAGTTGTGTTATTTATATCCTAACGATTTCGTTGACCGTTATAAATACGGTTGACCAAACGGTGTTCAATTTAGCATTGACTTTTGCTGACGTGGCAAAAACGCGACAACCACGTAGATGTCACATCATATTTTTAATTCAAAATTATATACAAACTAGAAAAATTAAAAATAAAATAAAACCTCTCGCTACTTCTTCTGCTTCTCTCCTCACTTTCGCTGCCACCCACATCAGAGATACTACAATTAGGCCTGTTAATCGGTTTTCGGTTAACCGTGAAACCGAACCGAGACCGTCGGTTTTCGGTGAACCGACAACCAATTTATCGGTTGCGGTTGGCGGTTGCCAAAACCTCGCATTTAAGGAGGCAGCGGTTAGCGGTGATAACCGCAACCGTGGCGGTTTAACCGTAGGCCATCCTCCTTTGGACAACACGATGTCGCTTTGGTTGGTGAGTGGTGACTGCTAGCTTTCAAGCCAGCGAAAGGAAGTTGGAACCCTAATTCGCGATACCAATTCCAGCGGGAGAAAGTCTCTCACCCTACCTCGCCGCTACCCTCCCTTCCCTTGTTCCCTGACCTCCCCTCCCCGACGCGGTGTCCACGCTGTAGCCGTCGACATCGCCCTGCCCTGGCGTCTCCACTGCAGTCGTCGGCCCGTCGTAATCGTTGTCGCCGCCATCGTCAGTCACCTCGCGCCAGCGTCGCTCCACCCCAACCTTCGTCCTTCCTGTCGTCCATTGTCACCCCCAGTCTTGCGATTCACGCCGTTGACCCTCAATCCCGTCGTCTGTTTTTGAACCATTCTAGGTCTCGGCTAACCGCACAAACAAACCGAAACCGTCGGTTGCGGTTTGCGGTTAACCGCACCTTCCTTCGATTGCGGTTGACGTTTCAGTGGCGTCTTCGGCTGCGGTTAATCGCAGTTGCGGTTCAGTTAAAACCAAAACCGCACCGCTAACAGGCCTAACTACAATAGCTTAGGGGTCGTTTGGTTTCGGTGATAGTTTGGTTGAGATAGTTACAATGCATGCAATGTCCACAATGCATTGTTTTTTGAATTTCTGCGCAAACAATACATGCATTGTTTGCTTGATTTGACACAAACTATCACTCAAAATGAGTGATAGTTAAATCTAAAGTTTTCGTTGAGATTGTTTGATGGAGATTGTTGTGTTTTCTTCTTCTTCCTAATATTGTGTTGCTTTTTTATATTAAAAACAAGGATAAAAGTGACATTTCACCCAAAAAGTGATATAATTTATTTAAATACTACAATAACTATCACAAAAACTGACAACTGCTAAGAAATTCTCTAAGGAAACGTACAGATGAACTGCATAAGAGATATGAAACTAAAGATATAGGCAAGATGGAGAAGAACCTTATCACCAACAAAAGCAGGACAAACTGATACACAAGGAATCTGAACTTCAAGAAAATCAAAGCATTCACAACTCAAAATCTCCTCAAACTGAGCATGAAGAGGATCACACAGCAGAAAAGTTAGGAGAACAACTTATGCAAGAAATTATTTTCAACCGTGGAGTGGGGGAATCTATAGGGAACCAGAATTCACAAAAGAAGTGACAACGTTAGAAAAATCCAAAGAGGATGGAACATGGAACAACAATGTTGTAGTTAACACCCCACAAGATGAATTTAGCCACAACTCTACAAATACAAGACCTTGAAGAGGGGATTATTTAGGGGTTTATTGACAGAGATGGACAGAAAAACAAAAGATACCCCAATAGCAATCCACATAGATAGTTGCAAATGAGAATAAAAATGAAGAGGGTGGCAGAGAGGCAGACCTTGCTAGGTAAGGCCGCCCAGCCCAATGAGTATTATAAGCTACAACTATCATGGTCTTGGGAACACCATGACAATTGAGACTTGAGAGGGTTGCAGCGTGACTCAATGAGAAGGAACCTAGTTTGCTTTTCTTAATGAAAAGTAAACGGTAGAGTGGTGAATGGGAGCAAACTCAAATGGACTTGGGATGGAAAATGGGGATAGGAGCGGGATCGTGTAGCAGAGCAGGAGGCTACTGTTATTATGGAAGGAGGAAATAAAAGTGAGAGTACTGAAGGTGGAAACAAACTATGTATGCAAAGTTTGTATTCCTCATTCCACAAGGAGTGATTCATGAAATACAAAGCCTCATTTCTAGTTTTCAATGGGAAAGGAAGCAGGAGGAAAGAAGAATACATTGGATGAGCTGTGAGAAGTTGTGTAGATCAAAGGCAGAAAGAGGATTGGGTTTCAGGGATCTTCACGACTTTAAACTTGCGCTACTTATGGAACCTTTACAAAAATCCTACCTCCCTAGTCACTAGAGTTCTTAAAGCCATGTATTATCCATATTACACAATTCTTGAAGCAACAGTTACAGAGGGAAACAATCCTAGCTATATATGGCGATCCTTAATGGCAACACAGGAAGTCGTGAATGAAGGGGCTAAATGGAGGATTGGAGATGAGAAGCAAGCACAAATTTGGTGGGATAAATTGATTCCTGAAGCTCCCAATTTTAAGGTGGAAACACCAATGAATGGATTGAACTGGGATGCTAAGGTCATAAGTCTGATTGATTGGAAAACTCGTATGTGGAGGGATAATTTGCTTCAACAATATTTCCAACCAAATGACAGAAAGAGGATTAGTCAGATCCCTTTGGCAAACGAGAATACCTCTGACACGCTTATCTGGGAAGTAGATAAGACTGGAAGATAATTAGTGAGATCAACCTATTACCTTTAGAAAAAGAAGAAAGGAAGAGGATGATGTGGAACGGTATATATCCCAATGGATTGGAAGAGATTATGGCAACTTAAACTACCACCAAAAATCAGAGTGTTCATCTGGCGGTGGGGGAGTAACATACTCCCAACTGGTTCAAAATTTAGTGCGTCGAATCAAGAAGGCCTATGAAGGATGCCCATTTTGTGGACTAGTGGAAACTCAAGAACATATCACACGAGAATGCGATTGGGCAGGAAGGCCTTGGAGACCTAGTGCACTAAGTAAAATTTTTGGATGGGGAGAAGGGAAGTCGTGTGAAGAATGGTTGTCAGAAGCTATGGGAAAAGCAACGGACGAGGAGCTATGTTCGTTCATTACTGCACTATGGTTCCTCTGGAAGGAAGGAAATAACCATTTGTTCAATAACAAGAAACTTGAAGAATGGGAGATTACAACTAGGGCTGAAAATACATAGAGAAATTCTTCGCCGTTCAAGAAAAGAAATATCTAAATCATACGGGCAAGAGGGATTACCCTTGGAAGAAGCCTCAGATGGGGATGTTCAAGGTCAACGTTGATGCCGCAACCTTTGCAGATGGAGGAACTGGCTTCGGATTGTTAATTAGAGATGGTGGTGGTGGTTTCCATATGGTGGCGGTTCAACAGACGCGAATCTCTTGGACGGTGGAGATAGCAGAGGTGAAGGAGTTTCTTTGGGGAATGCGACTAGCCCTAAATCATGATTACATACCGATACAGATGGAATTGGACTGTAAACCCTAATTGATAGATTAGGGAAGGAGGAAAGGACGGATTTGGAAGTGAAAGTGGTGTGTGAAGAGATAAGAAGGAAGGCGGAAGAGGAGTGATTAGTGGAATGGAGGTTCTGGGGACGAGGAGTTAATGTGGCTGCTCATCGGATGGGCAAGGATGATTCCAAAGACCACAGTCTATCTATCATCGCAATTAAAAGCATACTGTAAAGACACTCTGGAGGTTTAATTGAAACTTTAGGTTTATTATAATAATAAAAAAAATTACTATTATTTTAGCAGCCACGAGGGCTACCAAACTCTATATTTCTAAAATTAACGATAAAGATTGCTCTAAGTATAGTTTTGAAATAATAATAAAAATCACATATAATTATTACTCATTAAAACCTAATTATGACTCGCCCGTCTCCCAGGCCCAACGACCTCCCTCCCACTCTCTATTTCTTCCCGACGGGGCCACCTAGTCTGCCATCCCTTTCTTCCCCCTCCTCCACCTCTCCCTCAAGGCATATTTAACATAATGTTGGCAAAAGGGCGAACATGACAAGTATATCAATACTCATAGTTTCCCGCATCAAATGCAGATCAGGAAGGATAATACCTGCACAGCTACTGGTAGGGGCAGGTCAATCCATTCTTTTATTACTTGATGAAAAACATTTATTTGTAACGATAAAAACAAAGCAAAAAGAGTTCATATATAGAAAATAGAGATTATAGATAGATCAATTTGAGCGAGATTAGTTTAAGGATGAAATCTTGAATCTAAAATATGATAGGATGAAAATATGATTTAATAAGTAAAAACAGGACAAATACAATATATATCAACATAAATCAACATAAAACAGGCAAACAAAACGTAAGTAGTACTGACACTTCGCTCACGCTACCACAATTGGGTAAAGCTGGGGCAAAATGCAAAACCTCTCTAATAAACCATAACCGAAACACGATAGATGAACGAGAAAGTAATATTGATGGTAAATTGCTATATCCCACAATATTCAGACACAAATTCCTTTCCCGCCTATACATTGTATAGGATGCAGATAAAAACTCAAAACTAGCAGGGAAAAGAGTCAAAAGACAGTAATCAAATTTAATCTCAAGATAACAAGAACAAGAGGAGAGGAAATGAATTGCATGCAACAGCGTCACTCCATAAATCAAAACCATGTCTATTGCCACTGCCAAAAAGGAACCAAATAGAGAGGCATCAGACTCTCATTTGTTGGTTACCAAAAAGTTTAAGCCTGGTACGAAAAAAAGAAAGGGAGGGTACAAAACAGGTAAAAGCTTGGGTTCGAACAATTTGGCATATGTCGGACTACCGCCATTGAAATTTATATAACCATTGAAGACAGTTGTCTCGATCAATCCTCATCCGAGTAATTGAACTTGATTGAATGGGAGTGTATGTCAATTTGCCCTCCTCTATAGCTGCCTCGTTTTTTCTTCGTCTTTTCATGCCTAAAACCCCTGAGAGAGCAGCACGGTAATGGATAACACACATGTTCAGAATGCAAAGCGCAGGATCCTCTTAAATCAGATAATGCAGAGCGGTACCAAACTAACAAAAAAAAAAAATACACTTGCATGCATGTTATCAAAGCAAACAGTGTGCCTTCCAGGCGCTCAAATCAATACGACACCTCAACCAAATAACACAAATGACGACACAACTTGTAGAAAATAATAAAGGGAACAGAATTCTTCCTTTTCCATTTTTCTACTGGTTGCAGTCTTGTTGTCTTGGTTATCAAGCATTCTAATCAAAAGTAATTCAGACTAATATCTCTACACTGACTTACCTCCCTTTCACTTGTCCAAGAACTTCTTGTGCTTTAGCGCCATACCCAGTCTCAGCACCATCCTGTGGTGGAAATAGCAGAGGATATTAAATGTCAAAAACAGAGATAATGTGAACCACTAGAGCACTAAAATCAGGAATAACAAATTATCAACCTTCGCCCAGTATGAATTATCTTTAAGCCTTTCATCAGAGAACACCACCTCCTCAGCTTTCACTCTCTGAAAACGCTGTGCTGTTGTCGGCTGCAAGACGAGATCAATATTGGAAAATGATACCATAGTAACAGGTCAGGGACAAGTGGTTAAAGAGCATCACCATTACTTAGACAAGAGTAGACGAGCTCACTGGGATAAGGCACTTGAGACCATACCTCTGATGAGCCATTTTGCAGTTTTTTTGTGGATTTCTGGGTCGTAACTTTGTGTTCCTTCTCGTCTGTGTTTACATGTGCCTGCAGATCATGTGCAGCAGCTTCTGTCCTCTGACGTTTTCTTTCTTCCACCTGGTTACCATCATCTGGAGGAGCAGAATCTTCCTCAGAGGCTAACCTTTTCCTTTTCTTAGACTCGTTACCCTGTATTTCATTGACCATCAAAGCAATTTTCTCAGTATTTGCACTGCTCAACTTTTGAGAAGCAAGAGAATCCTTCTTTTGTCTCTTCTCTTTGGATTTAGCCCTTTTCTCCAAACTATCGGTGGCAGAATCCAATATAGAATTTGGGTCTTGCTCCCCCCCGGATACAGACTCGCTTTTGGCAGAAACAGGTTGCGAAGACAGTTTTTTGGAGCTTTTCTGCTTAGCTTTTGTGCTACCTTCTAAGTCATTTGTACTTTTCTTTGGTTTGTCCACAGTTTCAGAATCATAAAATTCAGCACTAGCTCCTGATGCCCTTTCTGCGGTATCTGTCTCGTTCTTAGCAGACTTCTTTTTCTTTCTGACATTAACAGTGTCAGCCGAAGCAGAAAATACAAATGTTCCAGCTTTATCAGAACTATGACCAGTCCATAAATCTACAGCAGATCAGAAAACGAAATTGAGAACTGTAACAAAATAACATGCAGCGTGCAGAGATCCTCTGATGACTAAGACACATTGTTAAGCAGTATTGAGTAAGAAACAGGCTCTAGTGTGTGCCTGAATTGAAAGATGAGAACTCTGACAAAATCACATGCAGTGATTCTCTGATAAATAAGACACATTGTTAAGTAATAGATAGCAAGACACAGGGCACTAGTGTAAGCCTGAACAATGCAGGAAACTAAGAACAGACTAACAAGGTAAAATCTACTGTCCAGCCACGTAACTTGGGAAAACCAAAGGCATGAAAAACCAAGAAGTTATTGGGGAAAATAAGAAGCCATTTGAAGCTAATACAAGAACAAGATTCAGTAGACACAAAACGAGGAAATGGAGAAGGTAATAATATCCAACAGGTCCTATGTAGTTATCCAACGACCTAAATGACTATAGGTCATAAGGCACCAGTAATCGCCACGTCCCTGTACACAAACATGCATTTACATAGGTAGAGCAATAGAACATCAGCCATTTCAATAGAGAAACAAAAACAAAAAAATTCAACAAAACATCCCCAAGTCCCTATACACAATCAGGCATTTGAATAGATTAAAACAAAACAAAAAACTTTATCAAATCATTATTTGCTAACGCAATTGCATCAGGTAGAGCAATAGAACATCAGCCATGTTAAGCAAAACTAGACGTTTAACAATATGCCCTGCTGGTAAAGAACAAAGAAACAGGGGACAAAAACGCTCATCTGATATTGAAGCAAATTGACTGCTTATTAATAACAGAAGCTGTAAGCTATATGAAGAGTCTTCTTGCGGGACAGAGAGTCACTTAAGGAGATATAGCCTAGCAAACAAATTTAGTAAGCGTGAATAAAAAAGTTTTTTGTACATTGACAGATTTTGATCCCATTGCTTCTAAGAAAAATAGAAAAAAAAAAGCTGGGGCACAGAGCAAAAGATGGAAAAACCCGATAGGGACATGTTCGTGTGATGTTTCGGCATACCTTCCTCCTTGCTGGAGAGGCTCTCAGGTTTCTTGCATCCCTGACCACTGCAGGAAAATAGAAATCACAATCAGCTTTAGAGTGTCGACTTTACTGCTTCAAGTCCATTGCAACTAATTCATATTTCATAAGCTGTCTCCAATTCTACCATGTACATAAAACCATACAATTCACAACTGAGTCAGCTAGGGTATAAACTGTTAGAAAGGCAGAGAACAACCGATAATGTTACAGAGGTAGAACATTTACAACAACACAACCACTTAAGGGTATTGTCAGGCAGCACTTTAAAAACATGTAGTTCCTTCTCAAGTTAGGACGAAATCTCCACCAACATACCTGGTCTCTAAGAATTTGCAAAATATCTCCTCTATGTCAAATGCAGAACCCTCTGAAATATCATTCTGTCACAGGAGGAAGTGAGAATGAATAGAGCATAAAGATGATACCGGTAGTAGCAACACACAAAAACAAAGAGATACATCATAATAATTAAGAATAAAGAAGGAATTGAGAATGAGTACAATAAGAGTAACTATATCAATGTTCACGGGGCGCAGAGTATTTTTAAAACGACAAAGTAACATCAACCATTCAGATTTCAGAGCGCAAATGAATTATGACCTCTTACTCTCCTATAGTTTTCACAAGAGGCCATGACCAGTATCTCTTACTTAGATTAGATAGCGATCCTAAGTACGATTGAGAGCTCAGAAGGTAGGGCAAAGTGAGAAGGGTACCTGGTCCTGGAGTTTGGCTTCAGTACGTAGCTTCTTAAGGGTTTTGGAGTAGCCGGAGCGTTGAAGAAAGAGCGCAAGGGAATGGAGAAGAATAGCCCTCTGGTCAGGATTGAGCACCAATGGAGTCTTGGCTGACATTGAGCTGCTGGTGAAGAGCAACGAGACTGGGCGAGGCTTCAGTGCCAGAAGGGTAGGGTTTATGTTCAATCCTTCTCCTCCCGCTATAGCCCTAGCAGGCTTTTTTGGCATATACCTACCTACGTTACGGGTTCGCTTCCGACCAGAGAGAGAAACGGCGCCTCGTCTTGAAACGAAATGATACTTAGACTCAGAGCGACGATTTTGAACTAATAACTAAACTAGGGTTACACTACACTTCCAGATCAAACATAAAGAAAAAAAGAGAGGGAAAGGACTGATATGGGCTTGTCCCACAAAATTGGACTAGCTTCTCGCGGGAAGAGTTTGGGCCCAATTAGACAGGTTTTAAGTTGGGCGGCCCACCGGAACAAGAAGAGACGGACTAGAGTAGAAAGTATAAAGACATGGCAGATAGGGATGGCAATGGGGCGGGTTTGGGGCGGGTTTGTCTAAACCATCCCCATTCCATCTTCAAATATCCAAATCCATATTCGCCTCATACCCATGCGGGTGAATATTTGGCAAACCCATCCCCATAGGCCATACCTGTGGGTTTCAGGTACCCATGGGTAATATCCGTACCCGTACATCCAACATTATTATCCTAAAATTTACAAGAAAATTTTTAACTACAACTCTAAACGTACCTATTATATCACGAATTCAATAAAACACGATCATTTGCTTAATACGGTTCAAAGAATATGATTCTAAAACATTCGTTAATACATAATATAGTGTATAATATTTTTCAAATTATTATGTTTTAACTCTGATACATCTACTAAGAAATAATTAACTAACATAATCTTGTTGACAAGGGGGAAAGTGAAAGAGTGAAAGGAGAATTGAGGGAAATGAATTAGGTTTTGATTAAGGTGGTCACTCAATTGCATTTCTACTATTTAGTTCCTCGAGTTATCCTCATCATCATTGATAGATTACAATTTGATATACATATTTTTGTATATGTGAAGAAATTCTCTTGGTGAGGCGGATATGGGTATGGGTATGGGGCGGGGAGGCTAAAACCATACCCGCCCCATACCCATCAAACTTTTACGGGTTTTACCCATGCCCGCCCCATATCCGGTCAAAGCAGGGATTACCCGCGTTGACTGGATCGGAGACGGTCGGATACCCACGGCCATGGGTTTGATTGCCATCCCTAATGGCAGAGCACTGTCATTCCCGATCCTGGAATAAACATCCCTGCCTAGAGTAGTGTCTAGGGACAATCACAATGGGGCATACGTGTAGCTGTTGCATTATGTTAACCAGACACGTAGCGTGAGGAAAACTTGCCAGAGCTCTCCCCTCTTACATTATGTTAACTGGACACGTAGCGTGAGGGAAACTTGCCAGAGCGCAGAGGGAGAGCTACCTTTGTGGCCTGAACTGCCCGATATTCAATAGCTTGTTTTTCTTCTTATTTATAGCATGCAGGATGAGGTTAGATAAAAATATAAGTTGGGTCTATGGAGGAAGTAAAAAGAGAAAAGAGAGATGATGAGCCGCAACAGTACTGGAAGGAAGAAGAGAGGGATGATGATGGGAAAGGCCGGCAGCTCTTGAAGAAGAAGACTAGTTCTTCAGCTGCCGGCCGGCAGAAAAGCAGCACTAGTAGGCCCAGTAAAGCTGAAGACGATGACCATTCATCATCGCTTGGAATGAGGAAGATAATAAGGGAATCCGTTGTCACGGCGGGAGCTCCGGGCAGCGGCAGGAGCGATGAAGAAAGTAGGGCAGAGCAACCAGAGGATGTTCTGGTCTTCTCCAGAACCACTAATAACATCGACTCTTCACTACTTTAATTCATGGTCATGTCTTCCGATTCTACCTTTGTTGTGAATGCACGTACAGGTGAGGGGGCGTACGTGCATTGATATTTGGCGAGCTGTCCGTCCCTCTTTGTTTCACGTATGTTTCACGTATGATTGTTTGAGGAGTGTTTTGCAATTACAATTCCTCCTTAAGAGTGAAAAGGGAATTGTGAGAGCAAAATATATATATATATATAGCTAGCTGATTGGCTACGAGTGTAATTGGTAGAATTCAAACTCTAATAAAAGATACAGCCGAAGACTCCTTCACGTGTTTTTCGTGAATTAGTCTCGTTCTCACGAACAAGGATACCATGTTAATCTCGTGCATCGTGTTCATTTATTTCATGGTATTAGAGCTGTGAGTAGATCATGGTTTCTGACGATGAGAAGATGAAGTCTACCGATATGGAGACGTCCTCGAAGAACGCCGTCGGCGACGGCGGAGAAAGATTTCCTCCATTTTTTGTTCTTCCTAATTCTGATAATCCCAACCAGTTATTTGTTGGAGAAGTTCTCACCGACTCAAATTATGGACAGTGGCTCGGTGACATTACAGATTCGTTTGTCGCCAAGAATAAAATGGGTTTTGTTGATGGCTCTATCCCCAAACCGGTGGAAGGGGCTCTTCTCGAGCAATGAAAACGGTGCGATGCTATGGTTAAGGGCTGGTTGAAAACCGCCATGAGCAAAGAGATCCGTTCAAATGTTCGATTTGTACGCACCGCCCGTGAAATATGACTGGATCTTGAGGCGCGGTTCGGCCGCGGAAGTGTGCCCCGTCTATATGAGTTGCGGCGCAGCATTGCTCTGTTACAGCAAGAGCGATCGACTGTTTCAAGCTTCTACACGAAGCTACGTGGGTTCTGGGATGAAATTAATTCTATATCACCGGCTCCCGAATGCAGTTGTGGCGGCTGCACTTGTGATGTCAAGCGCAAATACCGCGAAACGAAGAACAGTGCACAATTATTTAACTTCTTGATGGGACTCGACGAGGCTTTTGCCACGGTTAAAACTCAAATTCTAGCTAGGAGGCACATCCCTAGTCTAGCCGATGCATATCACCTAGTCAACAATGATGAGCAACGACGTAAGATCGCCAACACCAGGCGTCCCGCAGCTGAAGCTACCGCTTTTCATGTCCAAGACAGGCGAGCAGCTCCACGAGACCCTCCTGGTCGTTCAACAGATTCTTCCAAGCCCCGGTACACATGTGACCACTGTGGGAGGACGGGTCACACCAAAGACAGGTGTTTTGAGTTAATTGGCTGGCCGGATCGCGACACTAACATGCCTGATCGGGAGAAAGAACGCCGGCGTAAAGGAACTGAACGCTCTGACCGAAGGAAATTATGACCTCGAGCTGCCCAAGTGGAAGTCAGTGAGAGTCCGATCCCTCGCTTGAGCGCATCTCGGTTCGGACAATTGAAGGCTCTGTTTGGCAGCGAGTTGCAGTCTCCTGCCGACAAAATGTCAGGTAATTCTCTCCCACCTTTTGCGGGTACTGATGAATGGTTGATCGATACGGGGTGCAATGAGCACATAATCAATGATTCACGGATGATAACTGGGTCACGAGTGGAATCAGATTTACAGGTCCGCGTTCCCGATGGGTCAGTTGTTGGAGTTCGTGAGATTGGTTTAGTTCAGTTGTCTAACGGCATGGTTTTGCCACGAGTGCTTTTAGTCCCGGAATTTAAATGCAATCTTCTCTCTGTTAGTCAGCTCACTCGGGATTTTTCATTGGCGTTGATCTTCTTGAGCGACTTATGTTTCATACAGGACTCACGCTCGAAGACAATTATTGGGATGGGGACGCAGAGTGATTACTATCTGCGGCTGTTTGCTGGAGTTCTCAAGGAGATAGCTTTTGCGGCGCGAAGTGCAGTTGATGCTGACTTGTGGCACTCTCGCTTGGGACATCCATCTCCTGAGAAGCTCGATTTATTGCATTTAATTCCTAGCACTCGTAGGTTGAACCCCGTTTGGTTTTTTCTACTGGATCGATACGTAGTTCCAAACCTTTTGATGTTATTCACATTGACATTTGGGTCGGCTACACAGTTCCATCATTAAGTGGAGCCCAGTACTTTCTTAGAGTGGTTGATGATTTTACGCGTGGTGTGTGGATTTATTTGCTTAAGTTCAAGTCTGAGGCAGGCAAGTTTCTGAAGCTTTTCATCCGTCAGGTCTCTCGCCAATTTGGTGCGGCCGTGAAGATCATTCAAACGGATAATGGGACTGAGTTTCAGTCCTCAACCCTACTTGATTTCTATGTTGATGAAGGGATTCAACTTCAGACGTCTTGCACCGACACGCCTCAGCAAAATGGAGTTGTCGAGCGCAAGCATCGACACATTTTGGATACCGCTCGGGCATTACGCTTTCATGCGAATTTGCCTAAGAGATTTTGGAGGGAATGCGTACTTACAGCATGGTATTTAATTAATCGGTTGCCTCATCGTGCTCTTGATAACAAGACCCCGTATGAGCGTTTGTTTGGTCGTCGCCCTTCTTACCATCATTTGCGAGCTTTTGGTTGTTTGGTCTACTCGAAGGATACTCACACGCACCTTGACAAGTTTGGTGAGCACGGGCGCGCTTGCGTTTTTCTTGGATCTCCTTCCTCTCAAAAAGGTTATCAAGTTCTTGAGCTGGCCTCTCAGAAACTTTTTGTCTCCCGCGATGTAGTCTTCTACGAGAAGGTGTTTCCTTTTCACTCCCTCACCAGTGATATTCAGCCGGTGCCTTTGGCTTTGGGCCATGTTGTGCCCCCTGTTCATGACTCGGCCATAGAGGATGATGATGATACTCCTCTTGCTGAACCCATCTCTACTAATGCCAGTGAAGCCTCCACCTCCACAGATGTTTCCTTGGCTGCTCACGAGTCCTCCACCTCCGTTGAGTCTTCCTCCCCGGGTTCTCCACTCGGCGACATGGGTTCCAGTCCTCCCATGGAATCCTCTCCTGTCCAAGATGAGCTCCCTGCTTCCTCTTTGCCGGAGCCGACTGCTCCTCCTCTTCGTCGCGGTCTTCGCAATCGCCAACCATCTGTCCGACTCCAAGGTTACGAGACCTCTCTCCCCTCCTCTCACACTGTTTCTGACGTCAAGTACCCTTTGTCGGCTTATGTTACTTTTACTCGTCTGTCTCCTAATCATCGTGCTTTTGTGTCAGCGGTGGATACTCTCGTTGAGCCTCAGTTTTTCCGAGATGCAGTTAAATACGCATGCTGGCGGGAGGCCATGCAGCGTGAGATTGATGCTTTGGAAGCTAATGGCACCTGAGTGTTGGAGGAGCTGCCGCCAAACAAGAAAGCCATCGCTTCCAAGTGGGTATATGATAGGGCAAAAGCGTATTGCTTCAATTCCTATCTCGTAGTAAACCGGAAAGTCCGGGTATCGTCTCTCAGGGACTGTTACAACCTTATATTCTATCAAATTTATGAGCAAACTATAAGTGAAAATAGTTTAATGAGACTAATTTGTAAAAGCAAAATAAAATAAACAAATTAACTAAATGAAAACTGTCGGGAGAAAATCAATGGGAGAAAGCTCTGGGAGAAACACCGGGATTCACTACCTATCCTATCCAGATTAATTCACATATTCCAATCAATTTAATCCATACCTCTATAGCCAGGATATCACGAATGTGCTAGCTATCCATATCGGGAATTACTACGTACTAAACAATTAAATCAAATCCTACTGTCGTAGCTCAATGACCTAATTATTTAGCCTGAAGATCGATATCCTATTGAAGACCGCATAGCACCTTATTTAATCCACTGTCGCTTCGATAAGTTACTATGTCACATGAAATAGGTTCAGTTAATAGGGTTTCACTGTCGCTAATAACCTAATCAACTACGATTCATTGTATTGGTGGCCAGTCAACACAAAGCATTAAGCAATTCCATGCAATAGAGATTGGAAGAAAAGAATCATGAATCAATCCATCAAATCAAGAAATAGCTACATCCTATGGTGTTTCCCCCAGAAATTGGGGTTTAGTTCATGACGAAATTAAGATAAATCGATAGGGTTTTGTTCATCATGTTCTAAAACAACAAGAAACAACTAATTAGGTTTAGAAAATCCAACCAACTAATTGCTCTCGTTAAACTCAGCTCAAACCTTGGATGAGTCGATCGTCAAATTCTCAATCGCTTGTTTCTCTGCTGCCTTGCGCTGCGTCTCCTCTCTATTCTTTCTCCAAAAGAATTCTTCGTTCCCCCCTCCTCAATAAAGCGCCGCCCAGCAATTTGTTCCCTTCTGTCCTTTTTCCTCTTCCCTCCCCAGAGATTTTTTTGTCTCTTTCTTTTTTCCTGTTCCGCCAAAGAATGGCCCAAATAACTCCCTTCCTCCACCAAATTCTCTCGCCCAAAGCATTGTCCCCAGCCCATCCAATTAATACCTCCTGGCCCAAGATTAGTGCTCCCCAGAATGGCCTCCGTCTAATTAAGTCCTCTGGGCCTTGAGCCCAAGTGAGTAATCCACCAGTAATTCGAGCCCGATTTATTGCTTGTGCACTCGCTCCTTTTTCGTGTTTTCTCCACCTGTAATACATCAAACTCATGGCACTCGGCAGTAATGGTTTTTTCAACCATTCTCGGGTTAGCGAGCCCTAAAATAGCCAATTGGCTAAAACATACCATGAGATAATCACATAAAGTCCAAGAATCCGATATATTAAAGCCGAATATCACAACCCCACTCTCAATTGTTGCTTGTCCCTAAGCAACGACTCAAAAGACACAAACACATAATCATCCAAAACAATGACACACCACACACTCACTAATCAAACACTCAAAGCAAAACACAAAATTTCCTTGTACTCTTGTTGTAATCAGTAGTTTTTTTTCTCAAGAACAAGTTGTGCTCTAATGATCATACCTTTCACCCCACACTCAAGTTCTTTGCAACCATTACCATTGACTGACTCAAATCCACCAAAAACTCAAATAGCAACACTCAATTCCGATCGTCGGTAGTGGGGGATGAACAACTTATGGTGCAACGGTTATTAGGAGAATCTAACCACATCAGTGAGGTGCATATCTCGTGAGGACAGTCTGGCTTACTCACACCAATCATAAGCAATTAATTAAGCATGAGTCTCAAAAACTAATGGGGGAAGCCTTTCGCAAACATGATTTTAACTTTAAGCACATCACTACCTTTTATGACAAGGAGAGGCTTTCTCTCTTTCTGCTTTTGCTTGCCGAGAGGTCGTATTTAGTACAAGTGGGATTTGTTTCTTACTACCGGTGACCGAGCAAGAGCAATTTCTGCTTCTCAGCACTCGCATAAGGGCTTCTTTTAACTCCTTATCCTCAGTCCGTGTGGAGGGTCATTTCACATCCTCTAATGGCACTTCACTCAACTGGGGATCGTACTTGATAAGCAACATCGTACGGTCGCGAACCGATTCTCAATTGAATCTTTCCTCATCCCCATGTGCAATGAGTGATTGCCTCACACGATTTTGGCATTTTTACCCACACTTAATTGTTATGGCAACTTTCTTATATTTTACTTGTCAGGTAGTGTTTTCTCATATTATAAAGATACAGTTCACCCCATCATAAAACATTCAAAACAGAGAGACTCGTTGCCAAATCAAAAGCTCACAATTGATGCAAGTAAGCACGGTATCCAAACATGTCGAATGGTCAATGTTCTCCACCTAACTACTTCACCAAAATTCATTACATTATCCTCACAAAAGAGAATGTTGCTAAAAGAGTTTGCTCATTCAAAGCATATCAAGTCAGTCAAAACATTCAAGCTCATTGTGAAGAACTATGCAATTCAACACTAGTGGGGTGATTTTGATGATTTCATTCAAGCACAAACTCATTTCACACGCATCACAGTCATTTACATCATGTTACCACAAGAGTACAAGGTTTTGTTTTTAATTTTTCTGTTTTTTAGGTGTTTTTTAGCCATTAGCTTTGCACAGGCAGACTGCTTTTTACACAGGCAAACTGCATGCAGTTTGGCTGTGCTCAACCAACTAGCAAATTTTTTTTTTTTGGAAATTTTTTTTTTGAATTTTTTTTTACCGACCACATGAAAAAAAGAACAATTTTTTTTTTGGATTTTTTTTTGACCACATGACAAAAGGAACAAGCAAACACTAAGACTCGCCACCCCACACTCAGGATGGAACATTGTCCCTAATGTTCAACTCCTAATCTAAACATGCACGGTTTGACACAACGAAAAAGAAAAATAAAGAAAGAAAACTTGCCTTGGGTTGCCTCCCAAGAAGCGCTTGTTTAACGTCCTCGGCCTGACGTTCATGGAGCTTTCAACCAATGGGTATGGAAAGGTATCCAGCATACCCTCCTGAGCAATGATAGAACGCATAACCTCCATCCAGCATATGAGTCACCTCTGCAGGGCCAGGTGTGCGAAAATTGGGTATGACCTTCTTAGCTTGCATGTTGGACCCTTTAGTGAGGCGTAGGTGGTATTGCAGCGCCTCAAGCAAGTACTCTTCCTGTTTCAATGTCAGTGAAGAAGGAATAATAACAGGAAGATTGAAATCCTTACCCAAATATCTATACTTGAGGTGACCTGGCAAGGATGCCCTTGCTTTGACTTCAGAATCTGAGCAGATAGGATAGGTGATAGTTCTTCGGATGGTCCACTATCACAGGAAGAGGAATTTTTCCTTTCTCGAGCTCCACTTTCAAAGTCATCAAATGCATCGTGATTATGATCAACTTGAAAGACATTAAAAATTTCCTCCTCCTTACCTACTCGGAATGTCAACTTGCCTCTCCCGACATCGATGAGTGCATCACCAGTTGCTAGAAAAGGTCTGCCGAGAATTAGAGGCACTCCCTGATCTTCTTCCATCTCCAGAATCACAAAATCTGTAGGGAGAATAAACTTCCCCACCTTCACCAATACATTCTCCACCACTCCCTTTGGGATTTTTACTGATCGATCAGCCAATTGGAGTGTGATCCGAGTAGGTTTAAGAACATCTCCCAATCCCAATTTCTTGTAGACTGAGTATGGCATCAAATTAATTCCTGCTCCAAGATCACAAATTGATTTATCGAACTCTCTACCTCCAATAACACATGGAATGGTGAAACTGCCCGGATTATCCCTCTTCTTTGGTAATTTATTCGGAATCACAGCACTACATTCAGAAGCAAGGGTTACCTTCTCCAGATCAGCCCATTTGCGCTTCTTAGTCAGCAACTCCTTTAAAAATTTAGCATATGTAGGCATCTGTTCAAGTGCCTCCGCCAAGGGTATGTTAATCTGAAGTTGCTTGAAGATATTCACAAATTTCTTGAAGTTTGGGTCTTCCATGGGCTTCATTAACCTTTGAAAGAATGGTGCGGGAGGTTCATAAGGTTTTACCTCTTCATTCTTCAATTTTTCCACTTTTTGAGGTACACGGGCAGCATGCTTTTGCACAGGCAAACTGCTTTCATTTTGCCTGTGCAAGGCTGATTCTTCATTTTCTGCACAAGATCTTTCTCCCGGTGCTTCCTCTTCTGCCTCTGGTGCATTTTTCGAGCTGCTAGGGTCTTCCAAGGCCTTTCCACTCCTCAATGTCACTGCTACAACCATGGCATCCTTCGGATTCCTCTCAGTATTTGCTGGTAATGTCCCAGGAATCCTGCCTTGCATATCTGCCAAAGTTTGAGCCATCTGGCCTATTTGCCTCTCCATAGCTAGCATAGATGATTGCATATTATTGTTGATGGCTAGCTGTTGAGTGACAAATTGATCAAGACCCTTCAGATTATTGTCGGTTTTCTGCATGTGAGCCAGAAGCAATTCTTCAAGTTGTGGTTTCTTCTCTGGTTGAGGTTGTTGTTTCTGCAGGCCTGGAGGAGCAATGTTGCGAGCATCAGCTGGGTTGTTGTTTGGCCAGGAAAAGTTAGGATGCTTCCTCCATTGCGGGTTGTAGGTATTTGAATACATACCACCCTGGTCTTGATTTTGTTGATTGTTGATATAGTGCACATCTTCCAACTGATCAGCTACCAGTGGACATAGATCCCTATGATGAGCACCTTCACATAATTCGCACAAAGCAACCTCTTGTTGTCTACCAAGAGCCATCTTAGCCAGCCTTCGTTCGAGTGCATCGAACTTGGAATCCAGCTTAGCATCAATCTTTGCTTCTAAACTTGCAACTCTGTCTATCTCATGCAAGCCTCCTCTCCTTCGAATGCCGGTCTCACTACCCCATTCAGTATCTTCAGAGCATATCTTCTCCAACAGTTCATATGCTTCTGGTGCTTCCATTCTTGTGAAACCATTTCGAGAAGCATTATTCAGAGCATCTCGGAATTGTCTTCTGATTCCGTTGAAGAAGATGGAGATCACGTTCCAATCTTCAAGACCGTGGCTCGGGCATCTCATTAGAAGCTCCTTATAGCGCTCCCATGCCTCGGTCAGACTTTCATCCTCAGCTTGTTTAAAAGTGACAATTTCCTCTTGCCTCTTCATTGCCTTGGCAGGAGGAAAGTACTTGTCCAAAAAGGTCTTCTCAAGCTGACCCTATGTTTTGATGGAATGGGGTGTCAAGTTCTGGAACCAGTGTGATGCATTCCCAAGCAGAGAAAATGAGAACATCCGAAGACGGATGGCATCATCAGACACAGCCGGGCTCTTCATTGTGTCACAAATGTTTGCACACCGGCGAAGATGTTCATGAGGATCCTCGGTGCTGGCCCCTGAGAAGGTGTACCCATTAGTGATCATCTTGATGAAGGCTGGGGCAATCTCCATGTTGGCATCCCCAGCCGGAATGACAACACATGAAGCTCGGGCTCCAGTCCTCCGATTCAGACGAGCCCTGATCGAACGATCCTGTTCAGCCATGATGACAGGCTCGATGACGCGCGGCGGTGGTGTAGGTGGTGTAGGGACGACAGGTGATGAAGCCTGCCCTCTCTTGGTTAGGGAAGGCCTAGGAGTTGTGGTTGGCTGCTTCCCTAACTTGACCTGCTTCCTGTTCTGTCGGCAGGTCTTCTCGATCTCCGGGTCTAGTGGCAGTAAATTGCCGGTCGTCCTCCTAGGCATGCACGAGGAGGATAAACCTGAAAATTCTTCTGCACACTAACACCCAGATCAAAATAGTTCACTCACAAAAATCAACAAAAATAAGGTATGGCAGTCCCCGGCAACGTCGCCAAAAACTTGATAGGGCAAAAGCGTATTGCTTCAATTCCTATCTCGTAGTAAACCGGAAAGTCCGGGTATCGTCTCTCAGGGACTGGTACAACCTTATATTCTATCAAATTTATGAGCAAACTATAAGTGAAAATAGTTTAATAAGACTAATTTCTAAAAGCAAAATAAAATAAACAAATTAACTAAATGAAAACTGTCGGGAGAAAATCAATGGGAGAAAGCTCTGGGAGAAACACCGGTATTCACTACCTATCCTATCCAGATTAATTCACATATTCCAATCAATTTAATCCATACCTCTACAGCCAGGATATCACGAATGTGCTAGCTATCCCTGTCGGGAATTACTACGTACTAAACAATTAAATCAAATCCTACTGTCGTAGCTCAATGACCTAATTATTTAGCCTGAAGATCGATATCCTATTGAAGACCGCATAGCACCTTATTTAATCCACTGTCGCTTCGATAAGTTACTATGTCACATGAAATAGGTTCAGTTAATAGGGTTTCACTGTCGCTAATAACCTAATCAACTACGATTCATTGTATTGGTGGCCAGTCAACACAAAGCATTAAGCAATTCCATGCAATAGAGATTGGAAGAAAAGAATCATGAATCAATCCATCAAATCAAGAAATAGCTACATCCTATGGTGTTTCCCCCAGAAATTGGGGTTTAGTTCATGACGAAATTAAGATAAATCGATAGGGTTTTGTTCATCATGTTCTAAAACAACAAGAAACAACTAATTAGGTTTAGAAAATCCAACCAACTAATTGCTCTCGTTAAACTCAGCTCAAACCTTGGATGAGTCGATCGTCAAATTCTCAATCGCTTGTTTCTCTGCTGCCTTGCGCTGCGTCTCCTCTCTATTCTTTCTCCAAAAGAATTCTTCGTTCCCCCCTCCTCAATAAAGCGCCGCCCAGCAATTTATTCCCTTCTGTCCTTTTTCCTCTTCCCTCCCCAGAGATTTTTTTGTCTCTTTCTTTTTTCCTGTTCTGCCAAAGAATGGCCCAAATAACTCTCTTCCACCACCAAATTCTCTCGCCCAAAGCATTGTCCCCAGCCCATCCAATTAATACCTCCTGGCCCAAGATTAGTGCTCCCCGGAATGGCCTCCGTCCAATTAAGTCCTCTGGGCCTTGAGCCCAAGTGAGTAGTCCACCAGTAATTCGACCCCGATTTATTGCTTGTGCACTCACTCCTTTTTCGTGTTTTCTCCACCTGTAATACATCAAACTCATGGCACTCGGCAGTAATGGTTTTTTCAACCATTCTCGGGTTAGCGAGCCCTAAAATAGCACCAATTGGCTAAAACATACCATGAGATAATCACATAAAGTCCAAGAATCCGATATATTAAAGCCGAATATCAGTATACAAGATAAAATTTCATCTTGATGGTAGTGTTGAGCGGTATAAGGCTCGTTTGGTGTCCAAAGGTTTTACCCAGATCGAAGGCGTCGATTACCATGATACCTTCGCTCCGGTCGCCAAACTCGTCACCGTTCGCTGCATTCTTGCTCTCGCAGCCAACCGCAATTGGCACCTGCATCAGTTGGATGTGAATAATGCATTCCTCCACGGCGACTTACATGAGGAAGTTTACATGCAGCTTCCCCAAGGATTTGCTCGACCAGGGGACAATCGGGTATGTTGAGTCAAGCATATCAATGGCTGCAATCAAAGAAGGAAAATGCTACAATCTTGTAAGTAAAGGAAAGAAAATCAAAGACAGCATAAAGGAGGAGAGATTCTGCAATCAGCAAGAACAATAAAGGAAAGAACTTCCCAATGGCTAGCTACAGGTCAAAGATGCTGATTTGCCACCTAGCAAATCAACACAAAGAAGGAAGGTTCTAACGGCTGAAAAATTAGAGAAGAAATCAGATCATGAAGATTGGATACAACAGTGGACAATGAGGCTCAAATGACCAGCTCACTACAAATCAAATTAGAGGATTAAGTTCTCAATCAAATCATCACAAATAGGGAAGGAATTTGAATGACTAACGGTCATATTCCTGCCTATAAAAGGCGACCTGAAGAACTAGCAATGGTAACCTTTTCCAAGAGATCAACAAAGCTAGCTAGGACAAAAGGGGATTTTGTGAGAGTAGCAAGGTTGATAGAAAAGGGGTTTCTCAAAGGGTTCGGGGAGAATTGCTTTGAGGTTTAGTGTTGGGGAAACACTGTTACGAGTTGCTGGGGAAGCAATTCGGGGTTTGAGAAGAGAGAGTTTGATCAATCGGGTTGAGATTGATCAAAGTGTTCTTGGGTAGATAGAGTTACATCGAACTTCATCGCTATAGCTTTAGTGAATCGTCGGAGATCACACAACAGTGATTCTCCGACCGTGGAGTAGTCAGTATTGGGATTCTTATTCTCCCAATACTGGAAACCACGTAAAAATCGTGGGCTGTGTTTTTATTCTGCTTTTCAGTTTCAGTTTTGTATGCACCTCTGTGTGTGTTCTGTTTCAAGTCTGAGTGTGCAGGGAAATTCGATCAAGAGTAGCTAAGGAAGACGAACGGTCAGATCTGGGTTGGAGAACCTATCGCGACCTGGTTTGATTTAATTTTCATCATAATTTTCTGGGTTTATACTGTTGTGTTCTTTGAGTTCTTCCCCTGTTCTTCACTCAAATAGAAACTGGTCTCAGCTTGATCGAAATCACTCAAGCGGGAAAGGTTGACTTAGTTTGATTTAAAACTCTGTCGTTTTTGTTCTTCACTTAGAAGCTCGGTCGGGTCTAGAAATTGGTTGAACTGGGCTTTCGGGTTTTTACAATCCTCTAACTCAAACAATCGGGCTTATAGGCCCATTCAGGTAAGACTTAAGTTCTAATAGGTGGGTTTCGATTTAGCTGTCTAAGTGAGGGTGAAACTTTAATTAATTAGCCTAGCCGTGTTGGAAGAAGCAGAAGGCAGTTAGTTGTTTTAGGACATATATTAAATCTGTCTCTCATCTTTCTTTGTGCCAAACATTATCATAGAGCTTAAATTGTGGTCAAGTTATTTGAAAGACAGGTATAAAGTCTCGCGCTCGACGCAACCAACACGTGGTATCAGAGCACGGTCACCGTAGTACAAGGTTCAACGACCTCCGGTGCTAATCGAAATGGCGTCGGGTTCCAAGAATAATGCTCCACTCTATTTGGCTGACGGATTCTCTCAAAATCGGCCTCCCAGGTTTGAAGGAGTTAATTATGGATATTGGAAAAATCGCATGGAATTATTTGTTGGATCTACAGATCCAAAACTCTGGGCTAGAGTCATCAAGGGTCCGTATGAGCTCAAAGAGGATCAAGAAAAATGGACTAACGAGGACTTCGAGAAATTTCAGCAAAACTGCAAGGCAACTAATCTCATGTACTGCGCTCTCGGTCCAGAAGAATATCACAAAGTTGAGGTTGCAAGACTGCTAAGGAAATTTGGGATAAACTTCAGGTTACGTATGAAGGTACATCTCAAGTCAAAACTTCTCGAATTAATTCCTTAAAACAGCAATTCGAGTTGTTCAAAATGGAAGAAGGAGAAACAATCCGGCAAATGTACGAGCGTTTCACAAACATTGTGAACACTTTGGAGAATCTTGGAAAATCGTACGAAAGTGGAGATCTTGTTAGAAAGATTCTATGGAGTCTCCCAGAGCAATGGACTCCTAAGGTAACCGCAATAGAGGAAGCTAAAGATCTAGAGAAGTTAGCTATAGATGAACTCATCGGGTCATTAGTAACTAATGAAGACAAGCTCAACAAGGGAAATCATGATAAAGGGAAAAAGGGGATAGCCTTCAAGGCTACCACATACAATGAAGACACAGAAGATCTCGATGATATGGAGGATGAAGAATTGGCTCTACTAAGCAAACAAATTAGTAGACTACTTCAAGTAAGAAGAGAAAAACGAAGAGGAAACTTCATCAACAAGAATAGAGAAGTTGAGAAAGAAGGTGGTACATCAAAATATCCTCAATCAAGAACATTCCACAAAAGAAGGATTGAACAACCTCAGCCGGGAAAGGGTCAAATCACTACCGGATGCTTTAGATGTGGAAAAACTGGGCATATCAAGGCTGAATGTCCTCTAGCAAGAAAAGAACGAGCCATGGCTGCAACATGGAGCTGCAGCGAAGAAGAAGATGAGGATGGAGAGGAAACAAGAGAAGAAAGCTACATGGCTATTGATGTTGAAAAGCCATCAGAATGACATAACTCAAACGAGGTAAAACCTTCCAACCATACTCATTTCAGTGACAGTGATTACTATAGTGATGATGATCTATTAGTATCCACTATTAAGGAAATTCAGTTAGAGTTTGGAAATGTCAAAGTAAAATACTCTAAACTGAAATCTGATCATGCCAAAATAAACATTGAATATGATAAATTAAAGAAGGAGGCAATCAGATTAAACGAAGAGTTAGATGAAACTGCTAAGAAAGTTGAAGTTTTAGAAAATGAGAAAACGAGTCTCACAGCAAAACTTCAAGTATCATTAGAAGGGAGTAAGATTGAATCTCTGAAAAAAGAAGGTAAATCTTACCTAAATAATTCCACTAAGGGATGTTGTGAAAAATTAGGATCAAATTCATGTAGTAAAGGTAAGTCGAAGATTTTTGGAGAATCAATTAAGCATGAGAGAAATGGAACATTAACTCCAAGATATAGAAACATAGAATGTTTTTATTGTCATAAAGTTGGGCACATTAGGCGAGTATGCAGAAAGAGAATACAAAATGAAAAATATAGAACTTGTTTTACTTGTCATCAAGTCGGTCACATTAGTAGATTTTGTTCTCTTAAAGATCACAAACAAACTGTATCCAAGAAAGTCTGGATACAAAAACCCAAAACTGCATGACTGCTAATGGCGCAGGTTTGCTTCCAAGTGAGCATGGAGGCAACTGAATGGATATTAGATAGTGGATGCTCACACCACATGACAGGAAATCGAAACCTATTCACCACTCTCAAAGAAGGTAAAGGTGGTAAGGTATTTTTTGGTGACAATAATTCTGCCGACATAATAGGAAGAGGAATAGTTGGCTCAGATCCATGCATTGAAAATGTGATGTTAGTAAAAGGTCTTAAGCATAATCTGTTCTCTATTAGTCAAATGTGTGGCAAAGATAAGAGGATAATTTTTGAACATGATTGTTGCTACATCGAGTCATTGGTGGATAAGAAAGTGCTTTTCACCGGTAGACGTAAAAATAAGTTATATGTCATAGATCTAGATGATAAAGAAAGTTTTAAGGTAACGTGTCTGATGTCATTAGAGAAGAATGATCAAATAGATTGGCATAGGAAGCTTGGACATGTGAGTATAGCCGTATAGGGATTCTGTCTAAACTTGGTGATCTTGAGCTAGTTAAAGGTTTGCCTAAGTTAAAAGGCAAAAAGGAATTCTTTTGTGATGTTTGTGCTAAAGGGAAGCATACAAGGTCTAGCTTCAAGAGTAAGTCGGTAATATCTACATCAAGACCACTTGAACTACCTCATCTTGATCTCTTCGGACCTACCAATGTGGTAAGCTATGGAGGTAAGTCTTATGCTTACGTAATTGTGGATGACTATTCTCGTTTTACTTGGGTATTGTTTCTAGCTAGCAAAAGTGAAGCTTTTCAAAATTATGAGTCTCTAACTAGGAAATTGGAAAATGAAAAGCAATCTAAGGTTGCTAGCATTAGAAGTGATCATGGTGGAGAATTTATCTCAGAAGAGTTTGAACTCTTCTGCAATAAGCTAGGAATAAGTCACAATTTTTCTGCTCCTCGAACTCCGCAACAAAATGGAGTGGTGGAAAGGAAAAATCGGACTTTGATTGACATAGCTCGAACAATGTTACATGACTATGGTTTGCCTAAGTACTTCTGGGCTGAAGCCTTAAATACTGCATGCTATATTACTAATCGAGCTTTGATCATATCTGGAATTAAGAAGACTCCTTATGAGATTTGGAGAGGAAGAAAACCCAATCTGAGTTACTTCCATCCCTTTGGTTGCAAGTGCTTTGCATTAAACACCAAAGATCATCTTGTGAAGTTTGATGCCAAGTCAGATGAATGTGTGTTTTTAGGATATTCGATGACTAGCAGAGCATATAGAATATTCAACAAAAGGACTTTCAAAGTGGAAGAGTCCATAAATGTGATATTTGATGAATCTGCTAATGAGTGTTCAGATGAGATAGATGAAGATGATTTTGGACTTGGTGGGAGCTATGATCTACCAAGGACATCAAACACGGAGAAATCTGAACCCAGAACGATCATATCTGAAGATCAAGATAAAGCAGTAAGTACCACTAACTCTCCGATCGAGGAAGACCATGATGTAAGGCAACCTCCTCCACATATTGCTAAACGTCATCCTTCTTCCCTTATGATAGGAGGGCTAAATGAAGGTATGGTCACTCGCTCTAAAAACTCTATTGTGCATACTGCTTTTGTGTCATTGGTTGAACCTAAAAACGTGTTAGATGCCTTGAATGATGAAAACTGGAATGCTGCTATGAATGAAGAAATGGTTCAGTTTGAATGAGCTAATGTGTGGGAGTTGGTACCCAGACCACCTAATAGAGTTATTATCGGGACTAAGTGGATTTATAAGATCAAGTCTAATGAAAATGGGGTAGCAACTAGAAACAGGGCTAGGTTAGTGGCTAAAGGGTATAATCAAGAAGAGGGAATAGATTTCGATGAAACCTTTGCCCCGGTTTCCATATTAAAAGCTATTAGAATGTTATGTGCGTTTGCTAGCTCTAAGGGTTTCAAACTTTTTCAAATGGACGTCAAAAGTGCCTTTTTGAATGGAGATTTAAAAGAGGAAGTGTATGTTGAACAACCACCCGGTTTTGAAGACTTTCGATACCCAAACCATGTCTATAAATTAAAGAAAGTGCTATATGGTCTTAAACAAGCACCCCGGGCATGGTATGAAAAACTTAGTTCCTTTCTTTTAGGAGAAGGCTTTAAAAGGGGCTCGGTGGATAAAACTCTCTTTATAAAAAATAAAGGACAACATATGCTACTAGTTCAAATATATGTTGATGACATTATATTTGGATCTTCTAGCAAAGAGTTGTGCGAATATTTTGAAAATATCATGAAGAAAACTTTTGAAATGAATGCCATGGGAGAACTAACATACTTTTTGGGTTTTCAAATTAAACAAACAACTCGAGGCATTTTTACTAGCCAAACCAAATACATTCAAAATATGTTAAAACGTTTTGAATTTGGGAATCTAAAAACTGCAACTACACCTATGGCCTCTACGATTAAACTAGACAAGGATGAGTCGGGTAAGTCAATTGACGAGAAGTTCTATAGAGGAATGATTGGGTCACTAATGTATCTTACTGCTAGTAGACCCGATATTCAATTCGGTGTGTGTTTGTGTGCTAGATTTCAAAGTGCTCCTAAGGAAAGTCATCTGACTGCTGTCAAGAGAATCTTTCGTTACTTAGCTGGCACAATGGATCTAGGTCTATGGTATGATAGTGAGTCAAGTCTTGATCTAATTGGTTATAGTGACTCAGACTATGCTGGGTGCATAGTTGATCGTAAGAGTACTTCCGGGACATGTCAATTTCTCGGAAACTCTCTTGTGTCTTGGTTTAGCAAAAAACAAAGCTCTATTGCTCTATCCACCGCCGAGGCTGAATACGTGGCCGCTGGCCTGTTCTGTACTCAACTCCTTTGGATGAAGCATCAACTTTGTGACTACGGGTTAGAAATAAAGTCCATGCCCGTATTGTGTGACAATACGAGTGCCATTAACATGGCAAAAAATCTCGTACAGCATTCTCGAACCAAGCACATAGAAATTAGGTATCATTTCATTCGAGAATTGGTTGAAGAAGGTCAAATTCAACTTGAGTTTGTGCCTACGACGACCCAATGGGCGGATATTTTTACTAAACCTCTAAATATTGATCAATTCCTAATCATTCGTAGAGAACTTGGGCTTATTCCTTCTAGTGAGATTAAAGATCTAAGGTGAAATTAACATGAGTTATTAAAATTAACTTAACATAAGAAGCCTGCTAAAACTCTCGGCCCTAATCTATTCCTTGTGGCCTGGTAATTTAAGCCACTCACAGACTTTGTGGGCCGAAACCAACGCCCTTCCCTGTCCTTCTCCCAGACTTGCTTGGGATTTCCACTGTCGAGCCCATTTCTAACTTTCTAATTCTCGGGTTGGAGCCACTCTCTAGGTCTGTGGGCCTAAGCCCAACCTCAACCTCCAGCAAACTCTCTAAACTTGGACTTCTACTTTCTAGTGAGCTTAAAGATTTAGGTTATAATTAGCTTGTGTTGTTGAGGCTCAAATTAATTTTCCTAAGTTTAGAGCTGCCCATCAGGCTTTGTGAGCCGATTCCCTTGAGTTAATTTCGTTCGTGTGATTCAAGGAAGGTAAAGCTTGCCTTTCCTTCTTCCTCTGGTGCCGAGCTGCATCCTAAAATCCCTAACAACTCAAGCTCTATCAATTCTTCGCAAAGATTCCCTTTCAAATCTTCCCCAAAGGAAGCTTGATGACTCGGTATTTGCACATGTTTTCCCCTTTGTTTCTTGATTGTTTGAGCTTGAATTATCGTGTCTTTGGCCTATTTTACGCTAGGTTGTGTTCTTTTGTCACATTTCAGGTCCTAGCACATAAAGTGAAGCATAGGCGCAAGTTTCAAGTCAATCAGAGATCAATTGACGATTCGGGAGAAGAAACTTGGGTATGACCTGAAGAAGAATGGATTTCTACCTCACTTTATGGAAAAAGAATCATGAAAGCTTGTCATAAAAAGAAAGAGGACGAGACTACGAGCGTCTGGGATCAAATGGCGACTGATTCGGAGTCCGGACGAGGGAGAAACGAAGCATTAAACAGAGGCTGAGCAAGCCACACGGGCACAACCCACACGGCCGTGTGACCTGGCCATGTGGCCGTGTGGAAATCACCGAGCCTTCACACGGGCAGCTGGGAAATCCACACGGCCGTGTGGCCTGGCCGTGTGAGTCGGGAATTGCTATTTAAAACCCGATTTTCAGCAAAAGGAGAGGGAGAGAGCTGGGTTTTGGATCCCAAACACCCAAGGGACGAACCCTAGAGAGAGAGAGCGACTTGGGAACATTCATGGAGCTATTTTGGAGGATTTCTTCGCCATTGGAGCTCGGGAATCAAGCTTGGAGATGGAGATTGAAGATCTAGATCAGATTTCTGCAGTCTCTCTCTTCTCTATGGAGTAACTTCCCTTCACTTAGGTTTTGAGGAACCTTAGTTCCATGAGTTAGGATCTTTCTTGTATGAAGTTTTGGATGCTATATTGTTTGATTATAATCGAATGATGCATGTTTATTGAGTCAATTGAAGTCTGATCAACTTTTCCTGATTCCTGCTGCAATCTGAGATAGATAGAATCTGATTAGGTTGCTAGAGTCTCATCATTCGGTAGTAGGAGATTGGCTATACGAGAGTTAGCCAGTTTACTGCTTTGTACTGGAATCCAATTCTAGTAGTGGAGTTCTGTGCTTATTGCTTCAGCTTTCTATCCCGGTGAAGACTAGTTGTTTGCCGGATAGTTAGACTGAGAGGGTTTGGTCAGCTTAAGAGATTCCAAGCTACTGTCGGATCTTCCGCAGTTTAATCAACAGTAAATCAACCAAAAGGAATTACAACTTGGACCTAATTGAGGAGCTAGGGGGAATCATACCTAAGTGAGTTCCCAAACTGTAGTTAGTAGTTTTACTTAGTTTAGTTAGTAGAGTAGTTTAGTTAATCAATCCTTAATCTAGTTTGCTAGATAATGAACTGAAGCTGAGTAATAGTAACTCTAGAGACCTGTGGATTCGATATTTATTACTTGTGCCACTATACTGCAGTCCCTTTCATTGGTTACACTTGGCCATTGTTAGGTGTTGTGTTTTAGAGCATCAAGTTTTTGGCGCCGTTGCCGGGGACTTTCTAGAGTATTAGGAAAGGCAGAAGTTTGTTACTTTAGCGTTTTTCTTTTCTTTTCTTTTCCACCCTTGCTTTTCACTTGGGTGTTTTTGTTTTTGTTGGTGCAGATCTGAATCATGGATCCTAATGGCTTCTCCAATCATTGGGGGTATCCACCACCATCCGGGTGGTATTACCCCGCGACTCCCTATAGCAATCAAGGAGGAGAAGACTATGGATTCGGGTTCCAGTACCAACCCCCTTACTACGGAGAACAATCAGACCCCTGGGCATATCAAGAACAACCTCATTACCAAGAAGACTTTCTCCCACAACCAGAAGGGCCATCGGAGCTGGAGTTACCCATGGCGGCCTTCACGGGCCACTCTGCAGAGCCATGCTACACTTCACTGGAGGATCCAAACGAACAATTAAGGCTTCTCGTGGAGCAGATTGCTCGAGACACTGAGAAATCATGCTCCAAGATGGATCTTCAAATCAAAGCCCTTGCCACTTTCGATCCCTCATTTCTCAATGATATGGAGGAGAGTGTTCAGCGCTCAGCGAAGCAAACAGAGTGGGTGAAGCAAGTTTGCTCACATCTTGCTCAAGATCACCTTTCTGCTACCACGCTAGAAGAGGTGGAGGATGACAAAGGCTACGGGAGTGTTGAGGAGCATACAGAAGTTATCACAGAGAACTCCCATGATAACCATGATCAGGAAAGTCCTTTGGTTGCAGACCACACCTTTCCTCATTTATGCTCTAACATGTTGGGCCCGTGCGAGGAGATGCAAGATGATCCCATTGAAGAAATTGCTTGGCGACTTGCTCTCCAATCTGTTCTAGAAGAAGAAGAGCGAGCAAGGATGAGGAAGGAAGTTGTGGATGATGAGGAAGAAAGAAAAGAAGAGGTGGTTCTTGATCTTTTCCCAGGGGAGAGACCACATTTTGAAGAAGGAAGGGGGGTTGAGGAAGCAATTGGCGTCGAGGCTGAGGATGAAGTTGAGGTGGAAGAGGCATGCACCGGCCATGAGTTGCAAGTAATATCTCCACCAAACTTTGCGGAACTGCTTGGCAAGGACCCATTTGCAGTGTCTCTTTGCCAGACCAAGGCCACATCGACATCGGTCCCTCTTGGTGGACGCGATGGTGGTCGGTCGATGCTGTCATATCTGGTTTGGGGCAATGAGACGAGAGAAGAGAAGAAGATGTCTCGAGGGTGGAGACTTCATCTGCATCAAGTACATGAGCCTTCATCACCTGCCACACCACATGCTCGTGACTTGAGACTCCACCTCATCGACGAGAACCTCAACTTCAAGGAGGTTCTAGCATGGACCGAAACTTAGGAGCCATCGTCCGGCTCACGACGTGAAAGAAGCGCTTGTTGGGAGGCAACCCAACCAGTCGGTTTGCATTTCTTTCTCTATTTCTCCTCGGTTGAGTCTGTTTTGTTATTTGATTTTAGAGTCAATAACTCAACCTTTGTGAGATTTTGTGTGGTGTTTGCGTTCTGATTACTCTCTCTTCCTGGAATGCACCGCCTGACCCGTCCATCATCATTCACCCTTGATCTGGTAACTTCGTTCTACCCTCCTTATCTTTCCTCCATTGAGGACAATGTCGTATTTAAGTGTGGGGGGGTGTTCGATTATGTATGCGGGTGAATGTTTGGCTGTTTGTGTGCTTGGAGCCTAGTCCACTGTCCAAAATTTTAAATTTGAGGGCTCCAAGTACGTGTTTCCTTGCAAATTGCCTGCTCAGTAGGCTTTGAATTGGCAGTCTCTATAGTAATGTGCAACCTAGGGAGGTAGTGTAGCACTATGGAGGATGTTGAAGTATAAGATTTTTCCTATCTAGCTCTCTGCTGTGCCAATTGATTTTGTGAATTAGTGGAGCTAAGACCGTTGAATTCATGTGGTAATGGTGACTCTGTTTGGATTATGTTATGGACTCGTGTATCGAACAGGGTGCTCATATGGAAAATGGGAAGCAGTTGGTCCTCCATGTCAAAATCATTAAATCCTAAACATGGGGTAACCCCAACATGTGCGGCACCGTTCATTGCACAAAATCGGGTTTTGGAAGAGATTTTAGTGATCCTTAGTGGGGTACTCCTACAAGGTGAAGCTAAGTTGTCTCTAGTACAAGTAAAACTTCCACCCGTTGAACGGTTTGCCTACTTGAGGATGTGTTTTTAAGGGCACGGATAGAGCTTCCGACCCCCCTTAATTTCATTGACCCTCCACACGAGTTGAGGAAAAGGAGTTAAAAGAAGTACTCTGGCGAGCTCCAGATGTACAGAAATTGCTCTTGCTCGACTAATAAGGGTCGACCGTGCAAAAGATTGCCGTTGGAACCCCACCAAATGAAAGAAAAAAATGTAAATGAAAGTGAGAAAAAGGGGTTCCAACGGTGAAATGAAGTGAAAGAGCACCCCGGTACAACGAATCCTTGGTTGTGAATGGTGTGAGTCCCTTTATCCATGAACTGACTGTCTTACTTCTACTTTTTCTCATGATCCTGGCTTGAGTCTAGTACTCGCATTGAGAGAGATAGGGAACGTCTTAGAAGACCAGTTGACCTCGTAAGCTGCTATATGATCTAGGAAATCCTCTACCAACGATCGGGGTTGTATGTTGCTATAGAGCTCTGGAGAGCTGCATTGGTTTGAGTTAGGTTTGCTTGGGGACAAGCAAACAGTTAAGTGTGGGGGGATTTGATGACTCGGTATTTGCACATGTTTTCCCCTTTGTTTCTTGATTGTTTGAGCTTGAATTATCGTGTCTTTGGCCTATTTTACGCTAGGTTGTGTTCCTTTGTCACATTTCAGGTCCTAGCACATAAAGTGAAGCATAGGCGCAAGTTTCAAGTCAATCAGAGATCAATTGACGATTCGGGAGAAGAAACTCGGGTATGACCTGAAGAAGAATGGATTTCTACCTCACTTTATGGACAAAGAATCATGAAAGCTTGTCATGAAAAGAAAGAGGACGAGACTACGAGCGTCTGGGATCAAACGGCGACTGATTCGGAGTCCGGACAAGGGAGAAACGAAGCATTAAACAGAGGCTGAGCAAGCCACACGGGCACAACCCACACGGCCGTGTGACCTGGCCATGTGGCCGTGTGGAAATCACCGAGCCTTCACACGGGCAGCTGGGAAATCCACACGGCCGTGTGGCCTGGCCGTGTGAGTCGGGAATTGCTATTTAAAACCCGATTTTCAGCAAAAGGAGAGGGAGAGAGCTGGGTTTTGGATCCCAAACACCCAAGGGACGAACCCTAGAGAGAGAGAGCGACTTGGGAACATTCTTGGAGCTATTTTGGAGGATTTCTTCGCCATTGGAGCTCGGGAATCAAGCTTGGAGATGGAGATTGAAGATCTAGATCAGATTTCTGCAGTCTCTCTCTTCTCTATGGAGTAACTTCCCTTCACTTAGGTTTTGAGGAACCTTAGTTCCATGAGTTAGGATCTTTCTTGTATGAAGTTTTGGATGCTATATTGTTTGATTATAATCGAATGATGCATGTTTATTGAGTCAATTGAAGTCTGATCAACTTTTCCTGATTCCTGCTGCAATCTGAGATAGATAGAATCTGATTAGGTTGCTAGAGTCTCATCATTCGGTAGTAGGAGATTGGCTATACGAGAGTTAGCCAGTTTACTGCTTTGTACTGGAATCCAATTCCAGTAGTGGAGTTCTGTGCTTATTGCTTCAGCTTTCTATCCCGGTGAAGACTAGTCGTCTGCCGGATAGTTAGACTGAGAGGGTTTGGTCAGCTTAAGAGATTCCAAGCTACTGTCGGATCTTCCGCAGTTTAATCAACAGTAAATCAACCAAAAGGAATTACAACTTGGACCTAATTGAGGAGCTAGGGGGAATCATACCTAAGTGAGTTCCCAAACTGTAGTTAGTAGTTTTACTTAGTTTAGTTAGTAGAGTAGTTTAGTTAATCAATCCTTAATCTAGTTTTCTAGATAATGAACTGAAGCTGAGTAATAGTAACTCTAGAGACCCGTGGATTCGATATTTATTACTTGTGCCACTATACTGCAGTCCCTTTCATTGGTTACACTTGGCCATTGTTAGGTGTTGTGTTTTAGAGCATCAAAGCTCGAATCTCATGACGGGGGGATGCGATGGGTTGAAAGCTCGTCAATGTCCCAGGGGGAAACAAAGACAAAGCTGCTGAAATAGCATTCATATCTTCTCCAGAGTATTCTTACTAGGAGTATCAACTATTAGGCTTAGGGGGAGATCCATTACTACTCTTTGAGCAGTCTAAGAGTCCTTGTTTATTTTGGGAGTGTCAATCTAGTTGTGTGTACTTCATCCAAGTATCAAATGTTCTTTGATTTTCATTGCCTTTGAAGAAAATGATTCCTAGCTGTTTTTGGTTTATGTGTATTCTTTTAAGCATATTATTAGGACAGGCTGCACCAAATTGTTTGTTGAAGTGTGCAGTATACAGCAGCTATATATATTGGGCCATTGACAAGCTTAGGGGGAGTATGTTGAGTCAAGCATATCAATGGCTGCAATCAAAGAAGGAAAATGCTACAATCTTGTAAGTAAAGGAAAGAAAATCAAAGACAGCATAAAGGAGGAGAGATTCTGCAATCAGCAAGAACAATAAAGGAAAGAACTTCCCAATGGCTAGCTACAGGTCAAAGATGCTGATTTGCCACCTAGCAAATCAACACAAAGAAGGAAGGTTCTAACGGCTGAAAAATTAGAGAAGAAATCAGATCATGAAGATTGGATACAACAGTGGACAATGAGGCTCAAATGACCAGCTCACTACAAATCAAATTAGAGGATTAAGTTCTCAATCAAATCATCACAAATAGGGAAGGAATTTGAATGACTAACGGTCATATTCCTACCTATAAAAGGCGACCTGAAGAACTAGCAATGGTAACCTTTTCCAAGAGATCAACAAAGCTAGCTAGGAAAAAAGGGGATTTTGTGAGAGTAGCAAGGTTGATAGAAAAGGGGTTTCTCAAAGGGTTCGGGGAGAATTGCTTTGAGGGTTAGTGTTGGGGAAACACTGTTACGAGTTGCTGGGGAAGCAATTCGGGGTTTGAGAAGAGAGAGTTTGATCAATCGGGTTGAGATTGATCAAAGTGTTCTTGGGTAGATAGAGTTACATCGAACTTCATCGCTATATCTTTAGTGAATCGTCGGAGATCACACAACAGTGATTCTCCGACCGTGGAGTAGTCAGTATTGGGATTCTTATTCTCCCAATACTGGAAACCACGTAAAAATCGTGGGCTGTGTTTTTATTCTGCTTTTCAGTTTCAGTTTTGTATGCACCTCTGTGTGTGTTCTGTTTCAAGTCTGAGTGTGCAGGGAAATTCGATCAAGAGTAGCTAAGGAAGACGAACGGTCAGATCTGGGTTGGAGAACCTATCGCGACCTGGTTTCATTTAATTTTCATCATAATTTTCTGGGTTTATACTGTTGTGTTCTTTGAGTTCTTCCCCTGTTCTTCACTCAAATAGAAACTGGTCTCAGCTTGATCGAAATCACTCAAGCGGGAAAGGTTGACTTAGTTTGATTTAAAACTATGTCGTTTTTGTTCTTCACTTAGAAGCTCGGTCGGGTCTAGAAATTGGTTGAACTGGGCTTTCGGGTTTTTACATTCCTCTAACTCAAACAATCGGGCTTATAGGCCCATTCAGGTAAGACTTAAGTTCTAATAGGTGGGTTTCGATTTAGCTGTCTAAGTGAGGGTGAAACTTTAATTAATTAGCCTAGCCGTGTTGGAAGAAGCAGAAGGCAGTTAGTTGTTTTAGGACATATATTAAATCTGTCTCTCATCTTTCTTTGTGCCAAACATTATCATAGAGCTTAAATTGTGGTCAAGTTATTTGAAACACAGGTATAAAGTCTCGCGCTCGACGCAACCAACAGGGTATGTCGTCTTCGCAAATCTTTATACGGTTTGAAGCAGGCTTCTCGGAACTGGTATATGAAGTTCACGACGTCCCTTCAGGAGTTTGGTTTTCGTCAGTCACAGGCTGACCACTCTATCTTCCTCTATCGACGCGGTGGAGTGTTTGTTTTTGCCTTGATTTACGTGGATGACATTATTCTGGGTGGTGATGATTTAGCTACCATACAACGTGTTAAAGATTTTTTGCATGACCAGTTCAGTATAAAGGATTTGGGAATTTTGAAGTACTTCTTGGGGATTGAAGTAGCTCACTCACGCAGTGGCTTGGTGTTGTCACAAAGAAAGTACACCCTGGATATCTTAAAGGATGTTGGGGCTCTAGCTGCTAAACCTTGTGCTTTCCCGATAGAGCAGAATCACCGCCTCACGCGCATAGAAGGACCCGCAGCCAAGGATCCATCCGGTTTCCGTAGGCTCGTTGGCAGGTTACAGTACTTGACGGTGACTCGCCCGGACATCGTTTATGCTGTGAACATCCTTAGTCAGACTGTGCATTCACCGCGGCAGGAGCATGAATATGCAGCTCACCTCATTCTAAGGAATCTTAAGGGTGCACCGGGGCGAGGGCTCCTTTTTCCCACTCGAGGCGAACTTAGCCTGAATGCTTACTCCGATGCAGACTGGGGAGGTTGTCTGGCTTCGATGGTTACTTAGTGATTTGGGTGTTTCTAGTTCTTCTACTCCGCTGCATTGTGATAATCAAGCAGCTCTTCACATTGCTGCTAATCCAGTCTTTCATGAACGAATGAAGCATGTTGAAATGGACTGCTACTTTGTTCGTGAGCGCGTTATGTCTGGTGAGGTTTCACCGCAGAAGATTGCTTCTCAGGATCAGGTGGCTGATATGTTCACTAAAGGGTTGGGAGCCGAGCAGTTCGCTTTCCTGACCTCCAAGCTGAGCCTTCATGATATTCACGCCTCAGCTTGAGGGGGCGTGTTGTGAATGCACGTACAGGTGAGGGGACGTACGTGCATGGATGTTTGGCGAGCTGTTTATTGTCTGTCCCTCTTTGTTTCACGTATGATTGTTTGAGGAGTGTTTTGCAATTACAATTCCTAGTTAAGAGTGAAAAGGGAATTGTGAGAGCAATATATATATGTAGCTAGCTGATCGGCTACGAGTGTAATTGGTAGAAATCAAACCCTAATAAAAGTTACAGCCGAAGACTCCTTTGTGAGTCTTCAGTGGATTAGTCTCGTTCTCACGAACGAGGATACCACGTAAATCTCGTGCATCGTGTTCGTTTATTTCAACCGTACCACTGCTCTCCATATGAATTGAATGTACGGTTCAATTATTACAAACATGTAACATAGTGAAATAAAATCGATAATTAACATTTTTCTAAAAACTCTAGTTATTGAAATTAACTGGTTTATGATATAGTATCAGTCTCGTTTATGACCTAGTATTAGGTTAATTTGGTTAAGTGATCTAGTATTAGGTTAATTTGGTTAAGTAGTCGTTCGTTTGAATCTCTATTAATTTATGTACATAGATGACTAATTAATAATTTTCTAACTACTCAATTTTGGAATTAAGTTATTTATGACCTAGTATTAGTTTAATTTGGTTAAGTAGTCGTTTGTTTGAATCAAGTTAAGTATCGTTTGTTTAAATCTCTCTATTAATTTATGTACATACATGGCTAATTAATAATGTTCTAACTACTCAATTTTGGAATTAAGTTATTTATGAGATATTATTAGAGTGAGTTTGTACATACATAGATAATTAATAATTTTCTAAGTACTCAATTTTGGAATTAAGTTATTTATGACATATTATTAGAGTGAGTTCGGCCAAATGATCGTATGTGCAAATTTTTACAATTATTTATTTAATTGTCGATTTGAAAGTAAATATATGGCTAATTAACATTTTTTCAGCATCTACGTCGAGAATTAAAGTATGATATAATTCTGTTGTTTTGAGGAACGATCTGTAATAACGAACTTGCAAATCAAATCTCTATCATAAAGAGACTTGTTGTTCCTGATCATGCTTCAATTTCCTTGTTTGAACAAGGATGATCATTTTAATTGTTTGAACAAGTAAAAGCTTTCTTGTCTGTATGTCTATGGAGTTTTGAAAAATCCAAGCATCTCAGTG